TCGCACACAAGAATTTCACTCGCATGTGCTGTGCCAGTGTGCCTGCACATGTGATGTGACAATGAAAGTGATTTGATTTGATTTGATTTGATTTGATTTGAGTGACTGTGAAGGCCACAGAATGTATTTCACATCATTGTTATAATTCTCAGCCTTCAGTGACCCATGTGCATTATTGCTGAACAGGCTACGTACTGTTGGCATTCTTTTGGTCCACATTGCATAACCCTCAAGGTTTTCATGGATACGTTTATGTGTGTAAAACAAGCTGTAAATACTAAAGGTCACAGCCATTTAACTCTACTAACTAAACTGTACTAGCTGATTTCTGTTGGTCAGTCATTGATTTAAATGCTTCTTGCAAACAAAGTTACTAAATCAAAATGGCTTATCATATTAAGGAATGTGAGTGTACTGTGTACATATTTACCCATCGTGGTAAAAAAAATGGTGAACCCTATTGTTTAATATATAAAGGGGTATCTTCACCCTTATATGAATGTGTATGTACAATATGCATGTTCTGCATAGTTTTTATGCTTGTTCATCTTGTGCACTTGCTCCTCTATCTCCACTGAACACCTTGAGGTCATATCAATTCAGGAAAGCCTGACTGGTTCCTATTTAGATTATGGATGGTTATTACTGCCTCCTGGCTGTCAGTCAGATTAAACCAATATGTCCCGGGATAGAGGCTTATCATCTCATAGAGAGTACCTTCTCCTGGTAAAAAGGAGGGGCCATTTAAATAAGCCATCTCCAGAACCTTCCATGTTCTACAAATTTATTAATGTGGTCTGAAGAAATATCAATGCATCAAGTATTTATTGTACACCAATATGCTTGGTATTGCCCTTGTCTGTCAGTTTACTTTATGGATTTGTCTCAATAATATAGGACTATACCACAAGAATTACACTGTTGTCCATTCCTGTGTTTGCTCCTGCAGTAAACAAATATAATACCAGGTTCAGGGAGGAGAAAGACAAGACAGCGAAAGGAGTGCATGGGAAGGCGAAACACACACTTTCAAAAAGTTAACTGTGTGCATGCAATGTATTTTTGTGTCTTCATATGGGAAGAACTGACAATAAGCCATACTGTAGAATGACCCACGTAATATTTATAGCTTGCTGGCTAGCAGAACAGCTGTGTTTTTACCACTTTTTGATATAGATGAACCAATAGATTTTTAATAGATCCAGCCAATGGAAGGAATACTCTGGTAAGGCTCTAATGACAGCTTTTGACAAGATTTGTTGGATTTGCAGGATTTTATGAATAGAAAATATATCAACATTTTGTCAGTCATTTCTGAATCAGCATACAGCAATTCTTTGTTTTCTGTTGTAGAGATTTCATGTAATGACTTTGTTTTAACATTTTAGCATAAAATTAGAGGCACTTTCTCAAGAATGTTAGTAACAGTTTTTAAGTTGTGGTTAAGAATGATATTTATTGAAACAATGCCTATCTGGGTAGAATTCATGATAAGAACACAACCATTATGATGCCAATAATTTACTGTTGGCATTAAACACGTCACAATCAGACCTCACATGCATCAAAATGCATACCATCAATTCAGACTCCCTCTCTAAGAGGTTCAACATTAATGCACAACATCTCTGCTGCTACTGATTTCAGGAAGTCAGCGAATAATCTGACAACAACAAAAGTGACTCCGCCTCAGTTTCCCAGTCAAAACTTTGCACTTTCACCATTTTAGTCTAGCTGAACGTGTAGGTAATCTTTAATACATATTTTTATTGTTTATTTAAACCGATAGTCTATTTTTTGTCCACAGTTTATCCCGATGCTCACTGCTGTGGGAAATAAGCTATGTGATTCAGCTAACACTGGGTGTTTTGTTATTTTTATGGAGAACACCAACAATTAGAGACATAAATTTTGCCAACCCACTGTACTTTCAATATTTTATGCACTCTTATGATTCACCACTTCAACACTTGGATAAACATAAAACCCATCCTTTTATGCATCTCTGTCTTCTCAGCATGTGTATTTATGTGTGGGTGTGAATAGTTGTTTGCACTCTGAGGCATATGTTGTTGGTTTTTTTTGCCTTTATCAAGTGTGCAGTTTTGTGTGTGTGCACATGCGTGTGCACACACACAAAACTGTGTCTGAGGGCTTGCAAGTGTGCGTCTTGACCCTTATGGTGAGGCTGAAGAGAAAACGGGAGCAGAAAGAAAACCACACTAAGTGAACCGTGGAATGCGCTCGGTTTGGGGATTACATTGGCCCGTGCGCATGGTAAAACACAAAGGAGAGCTTCTGCTGCCAGGCAGATGAGAGGTTGAGAAAGTGCTTGGCTTTGACTCTGTGTGGCTTCAGTTGAAGCTTTCTCTCACAGTCAAAGCAGCATTAAAGGCTGTGGTTCACTCTTTAATTGTATCTGTTTATCACATTTATGACTAAGTGAATCATTTTTCCCTTCAGTTTACAGATGCTGCTGCCTTGATTCCAATCGTATATTTCTGTCTAAAGAGTACCACAACTAGTGATCCACTAAATAATTTGATAGACATTTAGGAGATGTGTTGAATAAAATAAATAAAAAGAAAACTTATTTAAAATCCCCCGAGAGCACTTTATTTGATTTCCACATCCAAAAACACCACAGGGAGCAGAACCTGACAGAGCGCTGATGTTTGGTTTATAAAAAGAATAAAATCTGGTCTCCAAATGGTTCTGTGTGTTGTGGCTGGAAATGAAACAGATTTCTCAGATGGTTTTGTATATATTTGCACCTGTGTGCAATGCAGGCGCTCTATGTCTGCTTTTCTGCTTATGCAGGCTTCACCCTCTCCATATGTTAATGTCTAATTAGTAGTCAGTGCTGTGGATGAAAAAAATGCTCATGACATTGAATCATACTTTAATTAAGCAAGAATTGGTAAGCAACATCATTAGCTATTGAGAAATAATAGACACGTATACTTAATATGCTCTGTACAGCAGCAAATCTCAATACATTCAGGCCTCGTTTGTCCATCCATCCATTTCTGGTTACACATTCTGTTCATCCCCAATAATAATGACAATCATATTTATCATCCTTGAATCTGATGCCCTTGGTTGACTGCCTCTGCATCTGTGCCCAACTTTTGGGCACGTCTTTTGGACCAATTTCACACTAATGATGGAGACAGAGGGTTGTGGTAATGCTAGCAGACAGGCCAAATCTAAGCCACAAAGCTGGACTGGGTCTTGGGAGCCAGGGATGCAGCTAGTAAGTAAGTATGCCACAGGGGCTAATCCTACATTGGTCCAGAATGATGAACACATATTAGGGAAAGGTAACAGACCAGGACACGTGTATTGATGGGGCATCAGATGTTCCACTGTGCCAGGTTACGTTTCATGGCAGCACTGGAGAGCATGTCTGTTGGCAGGATATTGTACCCTACAGGTAGTAGGTGTGCCTGCCTTCACATACTGTGTGCTCAAGGGAATTACACTTAAATAAAACTTTGCATATGATAGCACAAAATGTAATTATCAGTACAGCCGAATCTGTTGCAATACAGCTGCGGCATTAAATACATAGTTGTGATGAAGCTAATAGGAATTTTCTCTCTTCCCTTTCCCCCCTTTTTCTCCTTTGTGTCTCAACAGCAGCAGATGGTGAGGAACCAACTTCAGCAGGTGGGAATTTTTTATGCTTGGTAACGTGATTTCCATTCATTTGTTTTCATGCAAGTGTGTGTGTGTAGAGGGGGAGATAGAGAAATGGAACGAGCCAAGCCTCGTCCTTCCTTCATTACTCCTGAGTCTAATTCCTGCATTGATTCCCTGCTCATGCCGGGCCAGAAACAGTCATGATTACATCATTTAGCATTTCACTTCATAAGGCAGTCCTATTTAAACTTCCTCTAATAGTGTGAATCTGAGAAATGTCTTGTCTTTGTCTAGTACAGAGTTTTGAGATTGAGCTCACAGTCCAATTTGGTCCACTGATTGCTTTTGCATGACTGTTTTTCAGTGGAAATGAAATATGGTGGATACCTGAGCCTTTATCATATTTCTCAGGGTGTTTTTTTTCCTTGTGTGTGAGTGCTGATTTTACAATCCATTTACTTAAAAGCAGCATTAATCCATAGCAATTCCAATATGCTTATTCTAGAGTTAATGCAGTGCATCCATAAATACATGCCATTAGCATCAGTCTTGATGTACATTGTATTCACTCCCTATGGAGTGGACTGAGTGTATTCTTTTTTTGCTGGCTCCAATAGATGCTTAAGTACTTATCTCTGAATTATCATATAGATGTTAAAATCATATTTTTAAGGTAGCATATTTGGTATTCCAAAGTACTGCTTCTGATTATTGAAATAACTAATGTAACAAGAGTTTTATTACAAAAGCAAGACCACAGAGGACAACAGTAAACAAGAACCTGATTTATCTTCATCAGTGATGTAATTAAAATGTCACTTCACATCCTCGGGAAGTACTGCAGCTGAATATATAATTCCTCTTTCGTTGCATCCTCAACATCTACAGTAATTGTCTTTGTCTATGTTTCTTTCATTAATGTTAATCCCTGCTGGTTTGTTGGAGATCAAGTAGGTTAAAAAAAGAATGATTTATTTAGATTAGACATAATACCACAGGAATCAAAGTACTTTGCTGCAGCAATGCAAAGAATGTGACACAATAGACAAACTACACAGGCGTCTCAAGGGAATATGTAAGTCCAGTGCAGTGACTGCTGTCTACTTTTGCTACTAAAATAGGTTTGCCTGCTGTATAAACTACTTTTTGGCATCAGCATCTTGCTCTTTGCACAAATACCTATCGTAAATCCTTTTTTCCTAAAGCATTTCAAAGCAACTTTTCGTGTATTATACTCACTTCAGATCAGAGCAGCGAGAACACGGCAAGAAAAAATAATTATGGAGTAAGAAAATGAACTGAATTAGGTTTGACTTGTGACCACTGACCTGGAACTGGACCGAGACAGAAAATAGGACAGAGTGATGAGGAAGGCCAAAGTGCTCATGACAAGTTTGAAGAATTTAGCAAATCAGCTGCTATTTCACAGCATTTCATATCCTTACTCTACACAGCTTTCATACTTTGTCTCCATTCATACAAAGGGGGATATTGTTTGCTGTGTTTGGTTATTATGGTTATTTGGCAGTGTATGAATACTGCCAAGTCATCTACACGGCTTCCCTTTAAAGCAGTGAGTTTATTCTATAAAAGTATCGTTTATTAAGCACTTGATGTGTTTTATGAGCAAAACCAATTTCATCAAAAAAACCACACGGACACGGCTGTTCTTTGATCTGCCTCGGTTGGAGGAATTTAAACTTTTAAGGCCTTTTTACTTCCATTACTAATTGCAGGGGCTGCATGAATTAAACTTTAACAAGAAAACTATATATTTTCTGAATTCTGTTCGCCAAACCTTTATTGCACAATCTCAGCGGTTGCAGTATGTGCAGTCAAAATACCATGGATACTACTGAGACCGAAGAAGCATATTTGAGCATATTTAATTGTAAAACTAACATTTGCCAAGTAGAAAGTTGAATATTAGCTCTCCAGTGAACAAGTTAGAGCCAGCCTTTGTCACATTTTCAGAAATGTTATTGGTAGACTGGGAATTTTATTTAACATATATAATTTAGATTTTGCTAATAAACATTGGAGTTTTTAGAAAGTTTCATGTTTTTTTAAGAGACCCCTGCGAGAAAAGGTACGGCTCTGACATTTTCATGGCATTTAGTCTCTGACAAGACAGCCTTCATTTCCGCTTTTCTTTGGATCTTTCTAGAAGGATGGTGGTCTTCAATGTGACCTCTTCTTTTGAGTGACATATTCCAAAGCATTTTTGTTGCTGCGCGAGTCTTACTACTTTTACCTTCAAGTGTATTTGTCTGACATTGTCAAATCCTGATGGGCGGAAATGGCAGAGTGGGAAGGGCACGGGAGAACAAAAGGCCAAAGACTCACTAAAAGCCCAACCGTCCGGCGGCTCACGCTGAGAGCCTCGATGTAATATTGGTGGTGGAGTGCCAGCTTCCATCAGTTGAAATGCAGGATGGATGCAGTGACCATGAGCCCATGAGCCAGTAAAGTCATCATACAAAAAGGCTAGGTTAAAATACATTTGACGCACTTAGGGCATATCAGATGTCTCAGCAAAGTAGCAGGGTGGAGCTTCTGAGCTGAAGAGCTTAAATGTAAATTTCATACTCTTGAGGCAGGTAAAATGTGTGCGTGTGTGTGCATGTGTGTGTGTTTTCTTTAAAGATATTATGAAAGCCTAACCGTGTGGTTGAATCCTGGCTTGTCATTGTTAACTGGGGACTGTTTAAGATGGCAAAATTGGAACTGAAATTCAGAGTTGACAGTCACACAGGCATTTCAGTTTTGTTATTTAAATGTCTACCAAATTTCACTTTTTTAATAGCAGTTGCTGATCTAAGCAGGGTAAGGGCTGCTCGGTGTTGCTGTCAAAAACATCAGGAGTTGCGTACTAATATTTGTGGTGCCAGATTAAAAGCATTTCCTCCCATGTTGCTGCACAGTAACTTTTTCCCTGGGATCAGCAGAAATATGTCACATGGAGACAATACTTTGCCCGACCTGCTCATAACCCTAAACAATGCATGTAACCCAACAAGCAGTAGGAAGATATGGTAAATGGACTGATTCTTATACATCTACTCTCCTGGAGTACTCAAAGCACTGCATACAACATGCCTCATTCACCCCCACTCATACCAGCACTTCTAGACTCAAGTGCAACTAATAAACATTCACACACGTTCACACTCCGATGAACGCATCGGAAGGCAATTTGGGGTTAGTATCTTGCCCAAGGATATTTGGCATGCAGACTGGGGGAGCCAGGAATTGAACCACCAACCTTCCAATCAGTAGCTGATCTGCTCTGCCACCTGAGCCACAGTCACCCCTTCCTAGAAGATATCTTTCCTTTATCTTGGATTTAATTTTCTTTGAAAAAGCTTTAATATATTATTCAGATTGTACATGTTGTTCTCTTTGAGTCTAGAAAAAAACATAATGAGGAAGGGGCTGGGTTCATTCATGTCCATATAAATTCAACTGACTATTAATACCTCAAGCTTTGCAGCTCATCTGTGCTTTCTAAAAATTGACTGCTACCATTATTATTAGCTGTGTCACTTCTTTCAGGCTAAGCAGAGTATGTGCAAAGCATGAAATACTGTCTCCCAAATGCCTGAATTCTTATACATTTGGGGGTGAGCTAATGCTTGTGACAGCAACTGTGACAGAGCACATACGTAGCCTTAAGCCTGAAAATGTCAAATCTCTGTGATTGATCTGCAAGGAAACAAAGGATGCTTTCCTGTGTTTAACCACTGGTCAGGATTTCACAGCTGATTGATTGGCCTCTCTTTGCAGTCAGAAAGGAAATCACAATGCCCATGCTGGACACAACACAGGCTTGCATCAATCACTATGCAAGTCTTGGCTTGTACAGCAGGGCAGCAGCTAACATTTAAATTCCCAAGAAAGCTCCCAGTGTTTCCTCCTTGCATTACCCACAGTGTTAGGATAGTTACTATTAATCTGTAAAGATTTATTATTGTGCTAAAAATACAGTGAGTAA